ACGGACGACGACGGACTAATCACTCATATGATAAGCTCCGCTCGACAAAGTCGACAGCGGAGCTAATAACATTAACATGCATTTCTTACCAGTGTCGTTAAATGCAAGCTTGTCTCGTACAGTTGTCTCCGCTTTCTGAAGTCGATAAGTTAACTCTTCTCTAATCTTAATCATTTCATCTTCACATTTATTTGCTTTTATAGTTGAGTCCTTGACATCTTTTTCTTGAGTTTGTAACTTTATTTCAAGCATAGCCTTGTCTTGTTGTAACTTATCTATGATTTCTTTATGTCTTTGTTGCGTACTTTCCAACACTGATTGGTGCTGGGCATTGTCTCTTTCTAACACTATCAGCCTTTCTTGCAACTGCATAATTATTTGTCGATGTTGTTCTGATGTTTCATGGACCTGAAAATATATCATAAAAGTCTCTTTGTTTCTACTAGACAGATGAAATTGAGGTGTGCAATTCACATCATATTTGAATCACGTCGATTCAAAGTTCAAATTTTGGGATTTAAAGAAAATGCTACACAAATGTATGAGTTTATTTTTCCATATTTGATATATCATGTTACAAGAATGAAGAAAATGAAAGAACATAATCCCTGTGAGTTCTCAAGTTTAAGAAATATATATATTTTGAACAGGAACAGTCAGAGCATGTTAGAGATATGGTTTCAGATTTGCATTAAATGAAACAAAATGGCCACCAGTTGGCCATTATGGGCCCGATCTGACAAATAAAATCATGTGTACATACGAAGCTAGAACAAAATTTGTCTATGCACGACTGATATCCAGATCCAAAAATGCAGAAATAAATGATTTTGATGAACTTTCAGAATTAAAACAACTGTAATTCTGCCATCTTGAATCAGATCACCAAAATGAATGAATATGCAGATGTGCAATATGATGTAAAGTTTGAACATGATCGGTCAAGGCATGTCAGAGATATGGCACTGGAATAGCATTTGTTAAAATTATATGGCCGTCAGTCTGCCATTTTGAATTTGATCACAAAAAACAAAATGAAGTGCATCAAGGTCATTTAATGTCCAATGTATATACCAAGTTTGAATCAAATTAGTCCATACATGACCTAAATCCAGTTCTGGAATGCCAGAAATGCTTGATTTTGATGAATGTTTAACACAAAAAATGACCATCATTTGGCCATCTTGATTAGGGATCTGAAATCAATGGATGTACATATGTATCCCACGATGATAATGTATGTACGTAGTTTGAACGCACGAACGCACAAATGCACAAATATCAATATGACTCCATGTTTTTGGTTTTCATCCAAGCTGGGACTAAAAATATGGGGTCACTAGTGTCTTCTAAGCTGATTTGCTGTGATGCAACTAGCTGTGTTAATTCACTGACACACCATTGTCACAACAGGAAATCATACCGTTACATACTGATCTTGAAAAACATCTTTCGGAATTGGTAATTTGGTTGAATGAATTTTACATTTTATAAGGAAAATATGTGTAAATACGAAGGAATTCAGGGGCAAGAACATACAATTTTTTTTAGTCTTGAAGGCCAACCTCCCCTGCACTCAACAAGGTGACTCGTTTTGTATTTTGATTCAGGATTCCTACAATAGCAGGTCTGGTACCAAGGCACACAAAGAAATCAGTCAGCTATGAGGTAGAAACAGCAAGGACTGTAACTACAATGATATGAGCAATGAAATATGAACCAGTAGTGGGTGATTACTATGTTTATATTGGGAGTAAAATTACCTCTCTGCAGTTAGTTAACTGCATCATACTGATACATTGTACCGAATTCATACCTGTTTATGTAATCTTTCATTTTCTGTGATCTTACTCTGTAATTCTTCCCCAATCACATTACTTGCTAGGTTTTGTTGTGGTGAATCACTGCTAGGTTTCTATATAAAAAACACATAAATAATATGCATTCTGCAATGATAATATAATCCACACAATAATAATATTATCAAAGTATTAAAATGAAGAAATAAATATTATATATACTTAGGCCAGACTTTTATTATCCCTTGTTTCGCAAACCCACCGAATGAACAGGAGCCGAAAATGAAATAAAAATAAAATTTTATTTCAGCATAATTTCTCACACTCGCCAACTTGTAAGCACAAAAAATTGCTAAAAAAATATAATTATTATCTTCATTTTTTTACTGCCCGCCACACAGCAAATCCAAGTTGAGTATCATGATCAAAGTACCGAAGTCTCGCGCAGATGAGAAACAAGGTTATACATGGATTAAAATTTTATTTCATTTCTTCTCTTCGATCAATGATCTCACTTACAATTCTTTGAGAATCACACTCAAACTAATGGAAAAAAAGAATTAATTTTATTTTTTTCCCCCTCCTCAAAAAAAATGCCTTATAAAAACCCGAGAAACAAGGAATAAAAAAAAGTCTGGCCTTAATATGAATCATTAATTGCACAGTTTTGCAAACTTATTATAAATATATTCACCCATGTGTGTGTGATTCTACCCCAAGAAATTGTGATGATGACTTCGGTAAAATACAGTGATCTGATTGGACGTGTGTATAAAACATGCACCCAATCAGAGTTGTCATTATTTAACACATATGGGGACATGGCTAGATATTTTTACAATTCAGCAATGCAGCTGGTAACACTGATTGGCAAAATGCTGCTGCTCCATAGTTCAAAAGGTCAATTCTCTCAGCTCAGGTGAGAGGCAATTTACAATAAAACAGTCCTTGAACAGCAGCAAAAGGACAATATTACTGTGAATCATTCTACAATCATGATTTAATAATATTGTTTTGACAAGTTTAGTAATATCTGTAACACCACATGTCTGGTCATAGTACTGATTTTTACTGCAATACACATAGGGGTAGAGTAGACACTAGTTTTTTTCACAAAACATGACTGTTCTAGTTATTATTAATCTCACAGGAAACCAAAATAGTAAAACAGAACTGTATCATGTAGAGGTATTTACATGAAAATTCTGTGATATTTGGTCATTTATTGATTTAACAGTTCACGTTACAGGCTTCATTAGAGAAGATTACAGTTAGTTATTCCACTGAGATTCACTACTCATTACAACAGGAAAATCTTACAGGACTGACAGTTTTTTGTCCCCATTTGTCAAGACATCAATCCACCAATTGGGATTGCCACAAGGCTGACGAGGTATGTATGGGGATCTAAAAACTAACTCTGCGACACGATTGTGCGACTCGCCGAATGTCGATTATTGAACTCTGCGACAGGATCGCAGTGTCACTCTGCGAAGATCACGATTCCTATTGGTTGGTGAGTCGAACAGCGCGAATCCCAATGGTCGATCGATGTAAGGGTACACAGCATGCCTTATAGAAATGTTCAGTTTTAAATGGTTATTTCGCCGACTGCTTGCGAACTACGGTAAACTAGTATTTACCGACGACATGCCGCACGGTTCGGTAATCAGCAAGTATTTAACATTGATTTATTAACATATATAACATCAGTCAAAACACATGCACGTTGGTGTTGGCTGCCTTATTACGGTGTAACATCAGGGAGCTGGTAACATTAACGTCATCTTGAAGTTGTAAGGCTTCGTCCGCAACTATGCTCATTAGCATAGGCGGCAGCTTTAAAGCGAGCAGAGCGCACGATGTTACGTTGTTTTTTTGTCATTAGCAAGTATAATTTATTATGACTATATTCATCACTTTGAATTCCCAAATAAAGCGTGTAGCGGGTCAAACTGTTTCTAGGCAATCAATATCATTTTATTAAGAATAAG